CGACCTTTTCTGAGGACGCTATTTTTGTTTTGTGACTTGCATATGGACACCTATTTCCACGAACTGAAGAGAAAAGCCAGGCTTTGTCCTGTCATCTGCGCCCTCGGGAAGAGTAGCCTCTCGGAAAGACACAGCTCGGCCTCAGCAGCAGCAACAGCACCACAGCCCTCGCTCCGTGTGCCTGCCTTTATCTGGGGTGAGCTGCTGGAAGTGAGGCGTGAACGGAGAGCTCTTCTCCCCTCAGGGCGGGCAGGCGGAGGAAGGAGCTGGGCACCGGTCGCCTATTGTCACATTGCATCCATTTGCCGCGTGTGCACGGGAGCGCAGCGCCCAGGCGGCCGGAGCGAGCGAGGGAGCGAGCGAGCGCTCTCTCTTTCCCTCAGTCTCGGCATCTTGCCTTCCCTCGCCTTCGGTTCCCCTCCCTCTTTCCAAGGGGGCACTCCCAGCAAGTTGTGAAGGCGCGCTGGCATTGGCACCGGATCGTTCCACGCTCCTGGCCCAACTTCTACGCTGTTGCTTCGCTACCAAAAAACAAAAAGAGAGAGAAAGAAAGAGAGAGAGAAATAAACACATCAAAACCCATGATGGATTACAAAGGCAGCGGCGAAGGGAGCAGCAGAGCCAGCAGCCCTTCGGAACCGAGGCTGGGGTCGTAGCGAAGAGGTCGGCGAAGGTGACCCGGCGTCTCCCGCGGAAACGACCGTCAAGCCCCCGCCAGCCTGCTCTGGTGCGGTCGAAACAGGTAGGAGGCAGCTCCCCGCTTCACCGGATCTTTTCCGCTCCTTCAGGAGCCGAGTAAACAAATGTTTCCTGTGCGGGAGGGTGGACGAGAGATTTTGGGTGGGAAGGTGGACGGTATGCCTGCTTCTCGTCTGCGTTTGGTTTCCTGAGACCCGAGTGAGGCATTTTCTGTTTTAAAAATGTTAATTCTCGAATTGCCCCCCCCTGCCCCGCCCCGCCCTCATTTCCTCAGTGAACTTGAAAAAATGTTCAGTGCTGTGGGCACTTCAGAGTAAGCCTCTGTGGCGCGTTTAGTGAGATATACCTCTCTTTTTTATGTATAGGGTCAGGTTGGACTTTAAACTCTCTCCCCCTCTGAATTTTGTTTCTGTGCTATTGACTGTGTGAATGGACGAGCGGAAGGGTGTGTGTGTGTTGAAGCCGGTTTATTCCTAAACAGTTGAAAAGAGGCGCCACCGCTGGGAAAAGCCCTTCCCTGCACAGGTGTTTGCAAGTGGCAGTGCCGTCCATGGGCTGTTTCGGATTATTGAGGGCAAGGACGGGCGAAGAGCTGGATTTTGTGCAGACAGATTCCCACGGCTTCCAGGTCGTAAGAACCAACGATCCGTGTTGGTTTTTACGCCTTTAGTTCAGAGGCGGTCCTCTCGACGGTGCGAAGCGTAAGCTCTGTTGTCACGACTTTCTCACGCTGCCCGATAGCAAAATAAAGTTACATCCAACAATTTTGTTTTTGTTCTTACTGTCGCTGGAATAAGTATCTTTGTTACCACCCAACAGTGAAGGATTAATTGCGTTTCGGCATACAGAGACTGAAAATGCTCACATTTCTGAATGAAAGGTGCGTGCTCAAAAACTTATACATATATTGTAAGTCTAGGGGGTGGGGAATGAAACAAGAATAATACTTAAAAGCCTTCATGCCTTGGTTGCCCTTTGTTGGCTCTTGGGTTGCCTTAACCCATTGCATGTTTTGGAAATAATTCATTGAAACTTCAAAGACAGAAGAACCAAGGGGTTCTTTACAATGTGTACACTGAGTATCAACAGCAGTCGGCAGCAGCTGAAAAAATGTAACACTTCTTTTTCACAGTTTTATGCTGAAATGTTTGAGGAGGAAGGAATTGGTTTGCTTATCCAATCAGTGATGGTAATGTTTTATCTGTTGATTTCTATCTGTTCAAGATAGAGAGTTTATATTGGGGAATTGTCACCAGACCTTCCCAATATTATTTCCATTTTCCCCAGCAGTGTACTTTTAACAGCTGGGTGGCATATAGACATTTACACATCCAGATTCTGGTCTTATGAAAATGAAATGTTGGAAAAATCTGTGCTGGTTGAAATATTCCTTGTCACACATAACATTTGGAGCACCCTGCAAAAATAAAAAGTACAGTACAATGATCTTAGTCCCTAATGCTGTCATATCATAACAGTAGAAATGAAAGGTATTTCATCTTTGGGTATATTTATATTTTAAAAGGGACAAACATTCACTCTTAAGCATTTTCACTTTTCAGTGCTGGATTGGACTGAGATTTATGAGCAGTGGGACAAGTTTTGTATGGCACCAGTTTCTTAGTATGACTAAGCCTATGCCAAACTCTTTTTGTTTAGAATTGAGATATGAAGTCTGTGAAGTGTAAGCATCACCGATTTTGTTACTTCACTGCATAGGTGCCTGGGAAAAGTTTAATATTTGTCATCAAAGTAATCGAGTTTTATGTGATTTAGATCTAGTTTTGAAACATGAAACTGTGCAGGGGCTGGGGATGTTTGTGTCTGTCTGTCTTCTCCATTCAGCTGTGCCTAGAGCAGAGGGACCAGAGAAAGTTGTAATTCTGCACACTCTTCCAAATCCTGTTTCTGCTTCACTGCGTGGCCAGAGGCAATACTGTGAACAGTAAAACATCCTGATATTTTCAGGTCATGGTACTCCATTAATTGCACGTATTAATGCTACTATCATTCTTATTAACCAAGAATCAAATCTATATGTTAAAAAACTGAGTGGAGATTTAGGCTGAATTGGAAAGTTTCAGTGACTATTAAGATAGACATTAATGTATTGAATGTCTATAATGTGCATTCTGTGGACAACTTGTTGGAGATGATACTTTCTAAAAATACTGATTATGTTGGCCACTCCTTTTTCAAGAAGTGGGCAATTTCAGTAAATCTTGTTGCTGTTATGTGCCATCAAGTTGCGTTTGGCCATATGAATGAGTGATTTCCAAAAAGTCCTGTCTTCAACTCCCCCACTCAGCTGTTGTAAACACAAACCTGTAGTTCGTTTAGGGAGGGAGTCA